AGGGCGGCCCTCAGCAGATGCAGCACCTCTCCCAGCCTCCAGAGCTGCAAGAAATAAATTCCTTTTCAAAATTAGTTGCCCAGTTTCAGGTGTCTGGTTACAGCGACAGAAAATGGGCTAAGGCATTTCTCCATTTCATTCTCCCTGGCTCCAGTTAATCAACTCAATAAGACTTTTGGATATCCAGCGAGATACAAAGCTTTATAAACGTAACTCAAAAGGAGAAATAGTTCAAACCTAAGTTTCAGTTATCTTTTAAATAATTTTCAACTAAATGCATAAATGCACAGATACTATACTCAGTATTTTAGCATCGCCTGGTATGTTTCTGTGACAGCTGTCTGGTCTCCAGTACTTTCAAGGGGTCTTTGTGTACATGCAGAGTTACTCTCAGATTTCCCCAGGCAGCAGTAAGAAGCAGAGTATAATGGCATGACTGAAGCTGGAATCGCAGAATTTGAAATGCTGCCACCAAGATGAAAAAAGACCTCTAACCTAAAGCACTGGATTAAAATAGTGGTTTAAAAGCCCAGATTTACTGTCTAGAAAGAGTCTGTGAATGGAGTGATTATAAATGATGTAACTTTGTTTTTGGAAAACATCTGTTGTCCATGTGGATTTACTGCATTTAGAAATGCCAGAGTTTTCTTCTCCAGGAAAAGATGCCCCAGAGTCAATGACCTGTGCCTCAAATATATGCCACTTTCAACCCATGATGAATTTGTGGGTCTAGGGATCGATTGCGGGTGGCTGTTTACCTCAGAGGAGACAGCAACCAGACACCCTCTTCCTGATGGAAGGGCACTCCCTGCTCTGGAGCAGCCTACACGGGACCTCGCCTCACCAGCTTTGTCCAGCTGTGGCTCACAGGAAGCACAAGGCCCACAGGCACAGGAGAAAGGGCCAGTGGCCAAGGGCAGATTGCGGGAACAGAAACTGTTAGTCCAGGTTCTTGAACAAATCAATTTCAAGGAAGAAAGAGATGGAGGAAAAAGCTGTAGAGTAAAAGAGGCTCAAGAGACCTTTCCTGGATCCATCCTGCGGACAAGCAGTGTAAAAAACTATGACACATGAGACACCTGGAAATTAGAACTCTGGCTTCTGTTGGAGACGGAGGAATTACTGTGGCTTTCTGGTGTGATAATATTGGGGTTCTGCTTAAAGTACCTTTCTTTCACAAATGATACTGACATGCCCATGGCAGAAATGATATGTTCAGATTCGTTTCAGCAGCACCAACAGAGGGAGTGAAGTGGGGCCTCAGATGAAAAAGCTGCCCAGGTCCATGTTGCCAGAAAGGAGCAATGGGCACAGGGCTTTCAGGAGACTGTCTCCTTGACGTGATGTAACACTTCCTTTAAAAGAGGTAGAAGGGGTGAAAAGAACATATGTTCCTGGATTTAAATTCCTTGCATTTCATATCTCTCAGATTCACGTACAGGAATCACATTTTCTGTATGTTTTGTTTTAGTCCAGCCGTAGGCATATGTGTGTGCGTCAGTGCGTGCGAGCACACATATACACAGACACACACAGCCGAGGTTGATGCCCATCATACCATGAGGGGTTTCTAGTGTGTATTCCACATGTTGAAATAGTATTATTATCAGGAAGGTGGAAGGTGTGACCATTAGATACCCCAAATCAACGTTTCACTGTTCCCATCAATTGCCCGACTAAAGCATGAGAAATACATTGGTCTAACAAAGTGGAATTGGCACGCAATGATGTTTATAACCATCTTACTCATTGATTCCTGGAAGAGGCAGCAGTCAGGATGTGTGGTGAGAGGGCAGAGTGAAGGAGCTTCGGGAGGCATGCGCTCCGTGTCTTGAGGTGGGATTGAGAGAACTGAGAACGTTTGGTAGGCGGTTGAATACAGAAAATGAGGAAAGGATGGTGGCCACTGAAGGGCAGCTCCTGTTTATTTAGGACTGACTGCGTCAGGCATGTCGCCTGGGTGCCCTCCCGTCATCCGTGGACCACCCTGCAGTGCATGTACAGTGAGGAGGCTGAGTGGGAGGTCTTGCCCTTCTCAATTCAGGTGACCATGGGGAGAGGCCAGAGGGGCCAGTCAGTCCCCTTGCAAATGTCTCACTGGGTGTTGAGGGACCAAGAGGTGCAGGCTGCCGAGGGAGAGGCGAGGCTGGGCTGTGGGTTGCATGGGGGTTGCAGTGAGGATGCTGAGACCTGAGCCAGGGACTGCGGGGGTGTGGACAGCAGCACCTCACACCCCAGTGGAGCCTCTGCACTCGCAGCTGCCTCCACGCCCAGGCCTGTCACAGCCACCCGACAACACACCCCGCAAGGATTAGGTGGAAAATGAAATGCTGTTGCTTTATTTACGGTTCTTTGCGTACTTGCATAAAGCCATTTAAAATCCTAAAGAAATAATTGTTCATTCTTGGTAGGAACTATGCAGGTGTTTATTGTAATATTATTTTAACTTTACATATGAAATTGTTATAATTAAAAAGTTGAGTTAAAAGAAGTGGCATTAATCAAAGTCCTGTTTACAATCCGCATAGGATTTATGCCTCATTGCCATTCCCTACCCTAAATTATCATGCTTCACACTCAGTCTGTGTCAGAGAAAAAAGTCTAAAGGAAGTGCTTTAGTTACCTCAATCTGGTAAGTAAAATGTTTTTCATTTAGCTTATTTGTTAAATAATTTTTCAGAGAGCTGCTGACTTGGGCATACATAGTAGAGGTGAACTTTGTACCTATCCTAATGTGAATTAATGTAAAGTTTCATTATCTTTTAACTGTTGGCAATGTTAGAACTATCATTTTTCATCTCACATTTTTGCTGTTTAAAGCACTCATAGGCCCACGGTGTGGTGGGTCACGCCTGTCATCCTAGCACTTTGGGAGGCTGAGGCAGGTGGATCACCTGAGGTCAGGAGTTCCAGACCAGCCTGGCCAACGTGGTGAAATCCCATCTGTACTAAAAATGCAAAAATTAGCCGGGTGTGGTGGCATGCATCTGTAATCCCAGCTACTCAGGAGGCTCAGGCAGGAGAATCCCTTGAACTCAGGAGGCGGAGGCTGCAGTGAGCTGAGATCATGCCACTGCATTCCAGCCTGGGCCACAGAGCAAGACTCCATGTCAAAAAAAAAAAAAAAAAACAAGCAAAAAATATGTATAAAGCACTTGTAGAACTTCATTATATTATTTAGAGACTGAATTGTTGCTAACTGCACTATTTAATATGGCTTAGTATTTTAAGTTAATTCTGCTTATTCAACAAGGGTAGCGTAACAAAACAAAAAGATTTAAGTTCTCATGTTTTGATGATTTTGTTTCCACTTAGATTTATGAAACTTGGAGACATTTTTTTCAAGGTATACAGAACACAGCCATTTAAAGGTGTTTCATAAAACACTGTGGAAGGCAAAATCTATAAAACTGACAAGCATCTCAGGTAGATAGCTGCTGTTTGGAATTTCTAAAACTTTATTATATCTACTTTTTAAAGAGCATTTATTGAAACACTCTCTAAAATAGTAATTGTAAGCTATATTTTCCTTCTGTTTTAAAGTAAGCATTGTGTCCTGGTGGAAGGCTTATTGTGTGTGTTCTGACCCTCACCGATGTCTTGGGATTAACTCTGTGCTCTAATCCTCACGCACTCAGCGGGCGCATAGACATGAAACAGTCTGGGTTGTATTCCTGGACCATGCGTGCCACGGAGCATAAACATGAGTTCATATTTTTATGGGTGTTTTGCTACCATGTGAAAAGTTCCACTTTTATTGCAACCCATTGGCTGTGTCATTGTTCGTACTCAGATTTATAACGTCATGAGTATCCATGGATAACCTTTCTTAGGGGGGGACAAGGCGAAAGTACCCACATTGCAGCACATTGTGTACCTATCCAGAGGGCATTTGAGCTTCCCTGTGCTACTTTGCTTCTGTGTGACCAAATAAGTAAAACTGTGTGCGTATGTCACGTGTGTTTTAGGTTAAGTGGGATCTCTTTGTCAGTGAATCCATGGCCCTACGTTTTGGCAGTCCCCCTGAGGAAGCACTGGGGTACTTCTTGCTTGGTCCAATGAGGAGCAGGCGTTGAGGGAGCACATTCAAATAGCCCAGTGTTTGGAAACTCAGCTAAAGAAAAGCCGTCCTCCCCTTCACAGACCTCCTGTCTGTCATTCCAAGGGATGCACATGCATGCCAAGGGTTAAACACATCTGAAATAGTGTTTCTGTTCAGCTAAAAACACCTAACTTTTTGAAATAAGTTTTTTAAAAAATTGATGGTCACCCTAATTGGGGCTAGTTGATGTCTTTCTCAGGCAATGTAAAGGTGGTGACTCAGTTTCCTAGTTTTATGCCTGACTTTTTCAGAACAGGCAAAAGTTGTATTTGTTCCAAATAACAGATCTGAGCTGAAAGGCAACAACGGGACATTCCTCCTGTAACTAGAGCCCTTCCCATTATTAAACATTGTTAGGGGCTCGGTGCATAGTGGCTCACACCTATAATCCCAGCACTTTAGGAGACTAAGACAGAAGGATCGCATGAACCCAGGCTGGGCAATATAAGGAGACCATGCCTCTGCAGAAACCAGAAAATCAGCTAGGTGTGCTGTCGTGTCTTGTAGTCCCAGCCACTCGGGAGGCTGAGGGAGGAGGATCACTTGAGCCTGGGACGTGGAGGCTGCAGTGAGCTGTGATAACGCCACTGCACTCCAGCCTGGGAAACAAAATGAGACCTAGTCTCCAAAAAAAAAAAAAAAAACACACCCAAAAATGTTAAAAAGGCACCTTGACACGCTTGCTAAGAAGAAAATACCTTGTTCTTCCTATTAAAATGAAAATAGCAGCAAGTAACAATCTTGACGCTACTTTGTATTATAGAGTGGGGCATCCCAGTGGCTTCAGCATAGTGAGGAAGAGCGTCGCCCGTGGGTATGCAGCGTGCGCCGTAGGAAAGCTGGGCCTTCCCGTGGGCCTCCTGCGTTAACGTGTTTGCTGTTGTCCCCTTTATCCTAGGAACCCTCACCCAGAATGAGATGGTATTTAAGCGGCTCCACCTGGGCACTGTGTCCTATGGAGCGGACACAATGGACGAGATCCAGAGCCACGTCAGGGACTCCTATGCACAGGTAAGTGGGTTCCTCCTGTGGGGGCTAGCTTCCACACACGCCCCGCGCCGTGTGTCCAGCTGAGCCTCATGTCTTCCCATCTGGAAGTCAGCACACTTCTCGATGAGATTGTCATCCTGCTACTTCAGTCATCCGTTCGAATGTACGAATCAGGAGTGGAGTCTAGGAGACTTTCTGTATTTACAGTAATTTGTTTCAAACTTTATTTTCGCAGAGGCTAGACTAAATGACACCTCCCATTGCAGCCTTGCTACTCTTGACAACTCCAGAGTAGCATTCAGTGGTCAGCATTGTATTCAGTTTTTTGAAAACCTTCACTTTCCTCTGTCCTTGCTAGCAGTCACTGTTGGTGTGCTGTCAAATGGAAGAAGTCCCATATGTGTGTCTGTTTAGCATGTGGAATGTTTATCCACACACATAAGCAAACAAACACACGTATACACAACCAAACACCTTATTATTTTGGATATAATTCATTTAGATACAGAATATTTGTAACCTGGGATATTTATTAATAGAAGAAAAATCTTAAAAGGAGAAGGAATACAGTTTCTCCCAGGAATCTATTTCTACATTGAAATAGTACCAGATGAGATCTGCTTTTAAAAATATATATATATATATATATATATATATATATATATATATATATGTGAATGTGATTTTAATAGCTTCAAATAAGTCATTAACGTTATTAGTTATTAGGGAAAAAAATGAAAAACAGAAAAGATGAAGCATCATTATATAAACACAATAAATATTTACTGTGCTTCCACCTAAGAGTACTTTAAAAAATCATTTTCACTGAAAGCTGCTGTGAGCTGAACAGACAGCACTTTTTCTGTGAAATTGATGTGATTCTCTGTTGGTATTCTGTGTTATTGCTAAGATGACGGGAATCTACTAGGTCCACTGCCCTGCAGCACAGATCTTTTATAACCTGATTCTGTTTCCCCACTGGAGGCATTTGGTGATCAAGAGCATAATCTTTCATGGAATTCATATGAAATGAAATTGTACAAGCATCAATAAACATCACATAGTTTGGAAGGAGGGAGCCAACTGAGTTTGCTGTCTTGCAGCAGCATGAGCGGGCGCAGATGGGCTGGGTGCTCACTGAAAGGCAGCACCAGCTGAGCAGAAAGTTAAACCCTTCATTAGACAGCACTGTAATTTGATGGGCAGGAGACTCACAGTTCACTGGATCTGTGCACCCAGTCCAAACGCAAGAGCCTCAGTTTCCAAGGAGGATTGTTATGAGTTAACTCTGAAGTTAACTGAAGAAACATTTGGCAGTCCTGTTGGGGTCAAAGGGAGTATCCGATGACACTCTCCACCACGTAGGAGGTGAATAATAAAAAGTCATCGCCTCAGTGGTGCCGATGAAACCTCTCAAACACGGCTGAGTCTGACAGCCAAGCATACACATAAGCCCATAAATGGCGAGTTGCTTCAAGAGAGCAGGGTTCTGAGATACGACATGGGGTCATTGTCCTCTGAATGCGACTTCGGATTGTATCCGTCTAAGTTCAGAGACTACTGGAAATCAGGAATAATTTATGCTATTAAGGGAAGATTCTTAAAAATTTTGTCCTGCTTTTAGCTTTATACCATTTTGTGTAGAACATTATTGAAAGAAAGCTGGACGCAGTGGTGAGTGTGCCATTTCGTTTTGTTCTTTCACCCTGCTTTTGGAAGTCAAGACTAAATAGGAGTTAAGGACATAGGAAATCAATGCCATTGAAGTGAATATAGTAAAAATACATTGTCAGATTTTTAAGTAATATTTTTATAGTGAATATTTTGGTATACTGTATTTTGACAACCTGGATGTATCAAAGCACTTCACAGTACTAGGGTTAAAAAATAATCAGTGATGTATAAGGGATAATCAGAATCAAATCAAGCTGCTTATTTGTAGCTTCTTTGCTTATAAAAATCATATATGCTAATAATTTCATGTTAACCAGATAGTTCTCTTTGCTCTATCTTCAATTATGTGACGTTTCCTATTCTAAAGATGCATTCTCAAGCTGGTGGAAACAATGCTGGTTCAACTCCACCAAGAAAAGCCCAATCTTCAGCTCCCAAAGTGAGGAAAAGTGTCAGTAGTCGAATCCATGAAGCCGTGAAAGCCATAGTGCTGTGCCACAACGTGACCCCCGTGTATGAGTCTCGAGCTGGCGTTTCTGGGGAGACTGAATTCGCAGAGGCTGACCAAGACTTCAGTGATGAGAACCGTACCTACCAGGCTTCCAGCCCCGATGAGGTCAGTCAAAGCACAAAACCGTGAGAGCTTGCGCATTCCATTTGGGCTCCAAAGTCATGAGGATTCGTTCTTCCTGGGGTGGAGGATGTAGAGGAGTACTTTACCGTAGCTTCAATGTGTGTTTTAGCTGTAGCTTTAGAACTGCCCGACTCTTTCCAGCACGCAGCCTCTGACGTCGCATGGGCCTTGCAGATGATGATGTGCGGCTGCCATGTCCCCGCACGTCTCAGAACACCCAGGGCTGGTCACAGGGAATAGCATGAGAAATAGCAGCCACATTTACTGATTACATAAACTAACTTGTGTCAAAGCCCCACTTTACAAAGCTGTTGAAACTTGGGACTCTTATTCTGGCTGCGTTATCCAGTTTTTCCAAATGGAGTCACCAGGTTTCCATACTAAGTTTCCACAGATCTTGCCAGAATTGTGATACAGGGCATCTATTTCCAAAGAAAATTGGGATGTAAATAATTTCCCAAACCTAAAGAAATGGTGAGATCTTAAACGTGGTAAATTAGTTATTTCTAACTTTACATCATTCTTTGATTTTTAGATCAGTAAATTTCATTAAATTTGTTTAATTACTGTCTTAGTATCTTTTATATACAGCTTTATATAAACTTTGTCCCTTCAAGGTTCTTGAGGTAGTTCCGTAATCAAGCCAGCCATGGAAGCAAACTAGTGTCATCAAATACTTTGTAAAACTGTGTCAGAAACAGAAACATTTGGGCAGGGGGCAGGAAAGGACCTTCAGTGAAAAGAAAAAGAAAATCAGACCTAATGTTTTAAAGAGAGGAGTCTGGTGGTTCTGATTGATGAGTTTATTACAGAAGAGCGCCATCTTCCCCCCTATCAGAATAGAATCTCAGCCCAGAGACAAGATGCAACTTCACACCCACCAGGATAGCAGGAATCAAAAGACCATAGCAAGTGCTGGAGAGGATGCAGAGGAATTGGAACCTGCATGCGCTGCGGGTGGAATTGTAACAGGGTGCAGCCACTTTAGAAAACAGTCTCGACATTTCCTGTAACAAACACAGACTTACCTTACGCCCCGCAATTCTGCTCCTTGGAGTAACACGGACTTACTGTACGCCCCGCAGTTCCGCTCCTTGGAGTATACCCAAGAGACATGAGAACAAAGACTCATATGGTAATGTTCACAGCAGTGTTAGAGCCGGGAAGTAGAGGCAACGCAAATGTCTATCAGCTGTCAATCAATAAATAAAATGTCTGTCCATACACACGGAGCATCATCCAGTCACAGATGGCGGGAAGGAGCCGTTTCTGTGACAGCATCGAAGCACTTTTGAAACCTTGTGCTCAGTGGAAGAAGGCAGCTGCAGAAGGAAACGTGCATACGTGTGTGATTCCGTTTCCTTGATACGTCCAGAGCAGACAGCCGTGTGGAGACAGAGAGCAGAGCAGCAGGTGCCAGGGGCTGAGGAGTGAGTGCCAGCAGGTCAAAGGTCAGGGGCTGAGGAGTGAGTGCCAGAAGGGAGAAGGTCAGGGGTGAGGAGTCATCCTCAGCAGGTAGAAGGTTTTTTTTTTTTTAAGGGAATGAAAGTGTTTTAAAATAGATTTATTGTGTTGGTTACACAATTCTGTGGATATGCTAAAATCAATTAAATTGTGCATTTTTAATGGGAGAATTGCATAAAGCTATTTGAGTGTAGGTTCTATGACTATTAAATGAGTAGAAAATTCAGATTCATGACAAAGACAAGGTAAATTCATAGGTTAAAAAACTAAAATGTGTATCTTAGAACGTGTTAGGATATGAGTTCAATTTCTGGATGTATGGATATGAAAGCTACTAAATTCTAATTCCACAGACAGTGGCAATATGAGCCTAAAACCCCACTGTTGCTGACCAGCAGGTAGGCTAGACAGACGGGGACGCATGTGGCGAAGAGGGCGGGAAGAAGGGTTGTGAGCCGTGAGAGAGCCGCTTTTTCTGGTGATAATATGTCTTGCAGCAGAGACCAAGCCCTTGCCGTGAAGTGTGAGAACAGAGACAGACAGCAGCCGCCGTGAGGAAGCGGTGCTGGCGTGTGTGCACCTGAGAGTGCACAGTACAGCGCCTGCAGCGTGGGGAAGGTTATCGCCATTGACTTAGAAGTCGGAATGTGCAACCATGAGTTTAGAATGTTTGGAAAATTGCCTTATGAGTAATAATTAGAACTAATTTGTAACCCAAAGAAGACAGAACAGAGTAAATAAATGTGTGTTGATAATTGAGGAGGAGCTGTGCTGTCTGCAGAGCTGACCAAGGGTGGCAAGCGACTTTCACTTTCAAATTGCCTAAAAGCAGGAGTAGGCTCCTAGAAGCAGAAGAATTCTACCACTTTATGGCTCAGGAACAACCAGTAATGTCATCCATCTTTTTTCCATGAAAGTTGGCTGTGACCGTGTCCTGACGTGGCACAAGCTTCCAGATCATGGGACTAGATCTCATGTCCTGAAGCCACTTCTCATGTCTACATGATATACAGACAAGTTTAAAAACCACTTGCTTATGTGTAAATCTTTCCTTCCCCAGGAAAGTGGTTCCCATATCTGATGCCTACAGACATCATCGGCCATGTGGAGACAGGGAGCCGAGCAGCAGGTGCCAGGGGCTGAAGAGTGAGTGCCAGCCCGTCAAAGGTCAGGGGCCAAGGAGTAAGGGATGATGTCTGTAGGCATCAGATATGGGAACCACTTTCCTGGGGAAGGAAAGATTTACACATAAGCAAGTAGTTTTTAAACTTGCCTGTACCTCAGGTAGACTTATAGGGGTTTTTTCCTTTTTAAAAAAACTTACCTTTTTATATATGCACGCTAGAACCCCAATTACAGAAATGCTGGGCTGGGACCAGGCGCGGTGGCCCACACCTGTCGTCCTAGCACTTTGGGAGGCCAAGATGGAGGGATCGCCTGAGGTCACGAGTTCGAGGCCAGCCCGGCCAACATGGTGAAACGCCATCTCTACTAAAACTACAAAAAATTAGCCAGGCATGGTAGCAGGTGCCTGTAATCCCAGATACTAAGGTGGCTGAGACAGGAGAATCACTTGAACCCAGGAGGCAGAGGTTGCAGTGAGCCGAAATCACGCCACTGCACTCCAATCTGGGTGACAGAGTGAGACTCAGCAGTCTAAAAAAAAGACAAAAAGAAATTCTGGGCTGTGGCTGGACATTTCTCCATTTTTGAAAGTCTCAGAGGTTTTCAAACCATTGCATTTCACTTATAAATCTCTTCTTTTGACTGACTTTGAGGACTTGAGGCAAATACTAAAATCTGATGAACTAGGGTGAATGTGAGGGTGTGAGGTCCGCATTCACCAGTGTTTTAAGTTTTTTGCACACTGTTTGAGGTGGTGGCTCTCGATGGGCTCAGCTGAGCTTGTCCAGGGGACAGATGTGAGCATGCCCTGATACAGTGACCTCAGGAAGAAGAGACCCTAAGGGCACCAGCAGATTTCTGGTGTTGGACACAGTGTAAGCCACTGCTAGACTTTTTTAAAAACAAGCTTACCTTTTTGAAGCTTTAGTTAAATAGGCATTTTTCTTTTTGTTGTTTAGTCAAAATACTGTCTTACTCTAACCAAAATAAACCAATTTAGTAATTATGACGGGTCATTAGCCATGTAAGAACCTAAAAGATGGTGAAAAGCAAAAACGATGAAAGTGATTTTTTGAACGTGAGAAGTTGGGAACACTGGCCACTCATCTCCCTCAGACTCCGCCTGCCACGGGTCGGCTTTCTCCACACTCCTGCCGCCTTCCTGTCTCCAGAAAGGGTCCGTGATGCCACTGTGATGGCGTGGCCCTGCATCGTAGCCAGCACATGGTCCTCTCACCGCGCAGTCACCGTCACTGGAGCTTTGGAGTTTCATTGAGCCTTTCGTGAGAACTTCTGTCCCTGGTGTGACCAGGTGCATGTGTGTGCGACCGTGCAGTCTTCCCACCTGGCAGGCTTTTGCCGTCAAACCCGTAATGCCTTTTATTTCCAAGACCTCTCTGAGTGACCTTCCCTCCAGTGATTCCCAGGCACAGCATTCAGACCCGTGTGCTCACGCACCTTCGCAGAGGTGCTGGTCTTGGCTCTCCTGCTCGTTTGACCGCTGCCCACCCACATGCTCTTCTGGCTGCATCAGTAACTCATGGTGCTGGGTACATGTGGACTGGGTGATGCCTTCTGTGGACTGGCATGATGGGACCATTTCCTTTTTCCTAAATGCAGTTATATTACTACTTGAAATTTCTGTAGTCACCCCATTACTTTTATAGTTATTCAGAGCATTTCGTTCAGCAAAGAAGGCTGTGCTGAGCTTGTGTGGAGCTGCATTTACTCTTTCTGTGCTCAGCCCTGGCCTGATATCCCTTGGCTGCCCCTCATCCCCCACCAGCGGTCCCCTGCTGCCCACTGGCTTGTGGCACTCCCATGTATCTTCTGGGTGGGAGCAGCAGGCTTTATACTCCCTTACACCACATCTGCCCTCTTTTCAGGGGCTCACGAGCGTCGCCTGCTGAGCAAACGGGCCTATATGGGAAGATGGTGCCAGGAGTTACGGTCGAGTCAGGGGAGGGGAGTACCACACGTCTGTGGAAATACTGGTCCTGAAAACCATAGCACTGGAAGTTCAGTAGGGGCTAGTTTCCTGTAGTTGAGCAAGGCCGTGTCCCAGGGTTTAGACAGTGTTTGCCTTTTTAGTATAACGTGAAATTATGATGAAGGACGTAACTTCCTGCTTGTGAATCACATTGTCACCTCTCTCTTTTCAGAAAATAATTGGCAAAAGTCCATGAAAATTGGGATTAGTTGAAGTATTAGATTTCTAAAAAGCTCCAGAATATGAATGAATCATTGGATAGAGTTTTTCAACCTTGAGGAAATGTGGAAAGCAGAGCTCCACTCTTCCATTGACTGTCGGTGTGCTATTTCTTACAGCATTCTGTCAATGGGCAACATTGTTAGGGTGAGTTTGGTCATCAGCCCTGTTAGATTTCATAGAT